TATATATATATACATATATATTTTGTATCTATTGCACCTGGGTTTGTTTTGTGCCTCAACCAGGATTGTACAACGTGTACACATGCAACACTAAATTATAAAATCCCTAATTTATCCCTGTACATGAAAACAGAAGTGACTCAGCTCTTTCTTTACTGTGTCTCCTATCATGTGGCTGAAGTTGACCTAACAAGCCCTGTGGTCCTAATTCTAAAATTGCAGCATCCAGGCTAAACACAGGAGTATTTCAAACCATTGCAGTTCAAACACGATCAAGAGCAACAAAGGGCTTAAATTGTTTGCTTTTTTTTTTCTGTGTGACCCAAGTTAGTGTGTGCAAATAAGAATATTCTACAAGTTGGGCCCTGATATTGCCAGACGGGTGGAGAAATAGCAGGGGAGCTCTTGTATAACTTCCGTTTAACATTTATTTGTAACCCTGTGTCCAGAGGACAACTTTTGACCCCTTATTTTACACCCAAAATTGTGCAGTTTAGCCTCACTATACATCTCCACAAATACATTCATCATCAATACATTCCTTTGCAATTTCCTCACAGAAACATTTTAAAGCAGGTCAAAGATTATTTACATAATTGATCGAATGATAAACACTCACTGCCCTCTGCCTTAGTTTGACATTTATTTGTTTTACAACCACAGTTAGTCTACAAAATATCTGTCTCAAAGAACTAATCCACACACCATAAAAATATATAATGCTTTTATTCACATGATCTTTTTCATGATATACATATATCTGTATAGTTACATCGTGGACATAGTTGACTCATTGTGTCTGTGAGTTCTCAGTAACAGTTGAGCCAGCCGTAGTTGAGCAATACGCGCACCACTCTCTTGTATGGCAAGTAGTACTCACTCTGTCTGGGGCCAGATGAGAAATATAGATATCCTGTGGGAGGGAAAACTCACGTTACATGCACATATGCAATTGAACTTAAGGCAGCGAAACAAGCTGCATTGACAACAGCTAACAACTTATCTTGCAGTCACCTTATAAAGTTCTTATGATGAACATGTTAGCAAACAGTTGTCTCTATACATCCAACAGATCAATAGAGTAACATTATAATTCATTTGGAGCTGTGTTTCTAGTCACCTGATGAATGAATGTCCAACATTCACTCTCCCTGTAGTTCTGTTTGATCTCCAACTCCTAAGAAAATATCTGGCTCTTTAGCTGCTAAACACTCCACTATATTCACCAGCTAATCGCACACTTTGTCTGACCATTGTGTTGGACATAGAGTACAATGGGGGAATCAGTGCTTTTTGTTGCTGCCTGCTGCTGGAAACTAGGTTAATGGGGTCGGTAAGAGTGAACAACAACAGTGAAGTTGCTGTAAAGCCAAAATAAGGATCAGAAAAACGCTCAATTGGGTGGAACTTCTCTGTGGGTTTGTCACTACGAGACCTTTTACACAAAATTATTTGATGAGTCATTAAAGGAACCGTTTGCCTGTCCAAGAATGAGTCTACCACTTAACCTCCTTAAGTGGTGGAGGTTCACCTAGTCCAGCTCATAATCTAGGTCCAGCCCATCTCACTCCTTATGATTAAACCTAACCAGCCCAAACAACAAAGGCAACGGGTACTAGCCAGTCAGGGGTAGAGTAGGGCAGGTTGTGCCTCGCCATAGTAGGATTCGGTCAAGTTGGACTACGTAAAGGTCCACCCATTTTGCTCTGCAGTGAGCACCACATGCAAAAAAGAAATCTCTCAACTATTCATTTGATATAAAAATACTGATTATGATGATCATTTTCTGACATTCTCACCAAAGGTGTCTCTCGATCTGCTGTGTGAAGTGGGTTAAATTAGTTTTTACATTTCTCACCTATATTCTCAAAGGCTGCATCAACTTTGGAGCCTATGGCAGGGAAATCCTGAGTGATGGATCGTGGGTATCCCAGGTCCATTTGGTTTCTACCCTCATCATAACTGCAAGAGAATATTACAAAATGCTTTGTAGTTATGTAGTCATTCCCAATACAGTAAATATCTCAGTGATCTGTGTTTATATTCATTTTTATTTATTAAAGACCAAACACTCACCTCCAATACTGATTATTCACAAAAAATAGTGTTTTTTTAGTACTTGGCACATATACAGCTGCATCCACCTTACTGACTGAAGAGGGGAGGCCAAGGCTGGTGATAGACTTCGGATAGCCTGAAATTATTGTCTTTGCATAAGCCCTTATGCCCCAGTATTGACTACCTGTAGAGAAACAGTCGAGGTTATTATATCATGTAGTCACATGTATACCTTCACAGTCCTCATTGAATTGAGTATATTCACAACCTAAAAAATGCTGTGAACATTACCTTCAAAAAGATACACCGCATCCTTGTTTGGGACTTCAAAGGCAGCATCCACATATTGGATTCGTGGCCATTTTGTGTTCACTTTAATTAGACGGATTCCTTGGAATGTTGTGCTCTTCCTCCAATAGTAGCTAGTAAGGATTTGAAATGTAAATGTAAGATGTATTTACACGTGTCCCACATAAAAAAAAAATGATCATCACATGTTCAAAATGTACCCGTTTTTGAAGAAGAATAGGTCTCCCCTGATGGAGGTCGCAGCGTCAAACACCAGTTCGCGGCTGCACTGCTCATCTCTGGGGTTGGGCAGAGGGTCTGGGTTTGGATCCTCTGTTGGGTCCTCTGGCTCTGGTCCAGGAGGTGGTTTAGGTTTTGGTGTTGTTGGCACTGGTGTACGGCTACCTGGAAGATGGATTAGCAAAATCAAATGTCACCAAACTATGACCTTCAGTCATCACATCGACATAAATAACAAAAAGATACTTTTAGAACCTTTTTTTTTTACATTTATTTATGCTTGGACTGTTTAGTATCAGTCTAGCTGTCAACAGTATGAACCACAATGAATATGAAATGGATCCAGTTTAATTATCATGCATTTTAATTGAAATTGAAAATTGCAATCCACAGCACAAGGCATGCATTCATAGGTCAGCTATTTACTTGTTGAACAGAAGATTCATGTAGCTCAGATAAAGCCAAATTTCAAGTTAAAAAATTCAGCTTGGCTTTCACTTTGCAATATCTGGACTGATCATTTCAATGGAAGTCACCATAATTGAGTCTGACATTAATGTGAATCATTATATGGATGTTTTTGCTCACCATAGAGGGCTTGAACCCCACGCCTGTCATCATCTGGCAGCCTGTATCCGTTTGTGTTGACGTATTTATAAGTGGGGAACATGAGTGCCCGTCTGTCCCTGGAGTGATCCAGGCCAAGAGCGTGGCCAAACTCATGGGCCGCCACCAGCAGCAGATTCACACCTGAGCACAACAATTACAACAAATCCAGTCAGACATATTTTATTTTTTATAAAGCATACATTTGCTTTTTCATATTTTCATCGATGGTTGAATTCAGCAGATTTACAGCATTTGAGAAAATGTGCTGAATATATAGCCTTTTTTTCTTCCTCAGCTCAGAGTGTGTTTACCTCTTTGGGTAAGAGTCCAAGTTTCATCATCATCAAAGTGTGTGTCTCCTCCCTGATTCTGTCCAGGAGAGTTAGCATGTGCCAAAACTCCACCCGCCCCATCAAAAGGGTAAAAGTCCCCGTGATCTGCAATAGCATAAAGAAAATGAAGCAATTTATAGTATCAAGTGTAAGTCTACAATTGCTGTAAAGATCAGCAGGTGTCACAGATTCAAGTATGTTTAAGAAGAAAAAGGTAAGACTGATCCAACAACTTTGCCTCACAGCATGACCATAGACTCTTGTCTTGTTATTTTATTTACTAGCAGAAGTTTAGTCTGTGTTTAAAAACCCTCTTGTTAATCCAGACTTACAGCCGCCCTTGAAGAGGATCATGATGTCCGCAGTACCGCTGGAGACCTGTTTAAAGTCCAGTGGGATGACGTCGCTGTAGAGCTGGAAGGCCTGAGCAATGGTTGCATCCACCTGACTCTGAGTCAGATCTGGAGTATACTGAGTGATCCTGTTCACATCAAATTACATTGGTAATATCACCACCAACATCATCTTTGAGTGATGTTTATACATTCAACCACAAAAAGTACAATTACGCGACTCATTGACAATATTAAAATGTTTCGACAGTGTGTAACTTCCAGTTACCGGTATGTGATTAGCCTTTTCTGCCATTTGGGTTTCCCAGCGAAGTGTCCATATCGGCTGATGTCTGACACACCACACCGAGGTGCCTTCATCACCTCAACGGTCTCATTATTCAAGACACCAGTCACCTGGTGGTCATAAGAGGATATGAGGTAGAGATTTTTTAGGTGAGTTGTGAAAAATGTTGAGACTTTGCCATTTGCCATATGATTTATAGTCTGAATCCTTTGACGTTATTAGCCATAATTTCTTTGACTAAACTCTTTTTCATTCATTGCAATTACCTCCAGGCCAAAGAAAGCCTGCATGGCCTGTAGATCCTGGCTGAAGGTGTTCTCCTTGATGGTTCTTGTTGAGGAGTTTTTCATCCCAACGTCAGAGTAGAACTGAGTAAGGTATCCCTGATATCAGAAGAAGATAGATGACTTTATTGCAGGCAAATCATATTTCATTTCATATGCTTATTTCCTGTTTACACATTCTGAATTTAAAGACTTAATTTGCAGGCTGTCTCAACTCTGATTTTCCTAATCACTAGAGTGGCTTTGAATGCAAGATGTATTGTTAGTCTGCATTACCTCTGCCAGGTCTTCTTCCTCTGGTGAAATTGTTGGAGCAATGGTAGGTGCTGTGTGACACAGGGTTATACAACCCAGCAGCAGCACTATCCAAAGACCAGTGAGAGGCATCTTGTTAAATTGTTTCCTTTGTTCCATCCACTCTCCTCTTATAAAGACAGGCTTGACAGCCTGAGGCGCGTATTGTTGTAAATAATCAGAATATGCCGTGTCCTTTTGTGCATTCCAGTATATATAGTCAAGCCCCTCTTCCAGAGGGAGGAGGGGAGTAAATAGTGGCCCCTCTGATAACACAGTGGGGAAAGAGGATCAGTTTAACTTAACTGATGAAACATTTATGGAACAGTTTAATTGTCCTTTGTTCTGTTCTCACCTTAGTGTTTTTCTTTGAGACGCTTTCATGCTCCTCTTAAATTGTTTCATTCTACGTTTATGATTTACCTTCTGATATGTTTATGTCACTTGTCACATGCTCAAAGTTTAGTAACTAGGCAAGAGTATTGAGTAAAATATACTGTAGACGTATGTGTTTCATCAACCAAAATCAAGTACTGAGCTACAATAGTGAAGAGCATCTTAATTAAATGAGACTGCTTCTTTTGCCTAGTTTAAATTCGGGTGTTTAATGGGAAAACAACAGGAACAAACTGTCATGGCCAAGCTATAAAACTGGGACCTGAACAGCCACTAACAGCCACTCTGTCAAGAAACACATACGTTTGCCAACATCTTGCTGTTCTCAGTGTTCTTTTGTACTTATTGATAACCCTTCATGTACAGTGACCACAGTCCAGTTTGGTGGGTAAACATGTGCACAATGTGTGCAGTATCAACTTGGTACTGAAGTCCACTGACTTATTTGAGCTAATCACAATGTAAGGCCTCCTTTTTCGCAGAGAGAATGAGCGTGCAGCAGTGGTGGAGGGCGGTTTACTCAAGTACTTACAATTAGTTCTGAGGTTCTTGTACTTTTTTTTTAGTTTTACTTCACTGCATTTACTTGAGAGTTATTGGTTACTTTGTGTGAGGACTGGCATCTAAATTGAAAGCACC